ACAGCTGGAAGCTTCTAGTAGAAGCCAGCTCCAGCCATAGGAGGGGGCTACTCCCCATGTCCCAGCCCAGCCTGAGGAGCCCAGCGCCCCACACACCTGGCCCTGCAGCCTCCCTACCTCTGCCTCCAGGAGGAGCTCTCATGTTCAAATCCTGGGGGCCCCTAGCCCCAGGGCAGGTCCCAGGCCCACACGGTGCCTCAGGGAGGCTCAGGGCAGCTCAGCTGACCCCTGCGTCCTGGAGCCCCACCACCCAGGGCCAGATCTCTGCCATATAGGGAGTCCCGTCCTGCACCCCAAGCACATGGCTTGCTCCCCGTCCCCAGCTGTGCCCCCTGTCTGTGTCCCTTGTCCCACATTCCCGACCCGGTCCCTCTGCCCCCAGCCCAGGCCTGGGACAAGGCTGTGATCTCCCGCCAGGTCCTCCGACACGGGCCTCCAGTCCACAGGCCCAGGGTGGGGCTGCCCACGTCCTCCCCATCCCTGCCTCGTGCTGCCACCCTGTCCCTGGCAACAGGCTCAGGCAACCCCAGGACAGCTGCAGGCGGCTTTCAGGCACCCTTTGAAGTCACAAGGGCTGGGCAGGGGTGGGTCACACCCAGGGGTGTTACAGCCTGCACCACCCTTTCAAGTTCACCGGGCTTCACAGGGAAGCAGCTTATCACCGCCAGGATAGGGCCAGGGAGGACCATGGGCCTGGCCCCATGCCCACACCCCACCCCGCACTGCTGAGCCTCCCCCGGGCACCACCGTCTCCTCCTCAAAGGGCCTGGCTTCGGGGTTGCCCTGATGACACAGCTGGGGCCCTCCTCTGACTCCAGGACTGCAACCCTGAGGGCCAGGCTCCCCCCACAACCCCCAGGAGCCCCTCCTCTGACTCCCAGACTGCAACCCCGAGGGCTGGGCTCCCCCCACAACCCCCATTAGCCCCTCCTCTGACTCCAGGACTGCAACCCCGAGGGCCGGGCTCCCCCCACAACCCCCAGGAACCCCTCCTCTGACTCCCAGACTGCAACCCCGAGGGCTGGGCTCCCCCCACAACCCCCATTAGCCCCTCCTCTGACTCCTAGACTGCAACCCCGAGGGCCGGGCTCCCCCCACAACCCCCAGGAGCCCCTCCTCTGACTCCCAGACGGTAACCCCAAGGGCCGGGCTCCCCCCACAACCCAACACCCCCAGGAGTCCAGGACAGAGCTCGGGACTTGCGCCCCCACAA